TCTCTCTCTCTCTCTCTCTCTCTCTCTCTCTCTCTCTCTCTCTCTCTCCATCTCTCCATTGTATGGCTCTGATCAGTAGAAGTGACAGTTCAGGCAGCCTCAGAAAGAGGCTGATGCTGTGGTTCTGAGGCGAAGCTGAATGGTGTGGCCAGCCAGTCTGTGGTTTAAACCTCATGGAATCAAGGGCCAAATGAATACCTGAAGGCTCTGATCCAACCAGTTCATTAGAAGCAATAAATAGCAAAGCAAAAACCATTAGCCACTCAGTAGAGTGTTGCAAAATGGGCTCAAGGGATTGCAGCGAAAGGACATACACGCCACAGAGCAGATGAGAATGGAAGCCACAGAATGTCACACAGCAACCAGGAGTGACCGGAGGAGGAGCTCCAAGACAAGGAGCGTGCTCAGCACGCGTGGGGCTGCGGATTCAGCCTCCAACCGTGCAAAAGCAAACAAATAAAAATGAGAAAACCAACTCCCTATAGGAATATCTTGACAGATAGAAATGACAAAACAGTAATTAGGAGAAGAAAAAAGTTGCTGTAATTAGTCTCGCAAACAAAGTTACTAGACGTGTCAGTGAAAAGTCTACTGAGAGGGATATACATATATAATGAAATATATATGAAATATATTATGTTATGTGTTATATAAATATATTTTATATATTATATAAATATATTATAATATATTGCATATATTGCATATAAATGTGAAATATATGTATATATGAAAATAGCAAGTGGAGAAGTTGGACCTGTTCTGTATTGTCAATGAGGATGCAAAATGTTACAGCTCTTTGGAAAATGACTTGGCATTTCCTCAAAAAAGTAAAATGTAGAGTTACCATATAACGTAGCAATTGTGTTCTGAGAGACTTGAAAGCATATCCCCACAAAACCTGTTACACAGCTGCATGGTTCATAATAGTCCCAAATGGGGAACAACCCAAAAGCCCAGCAGCTGATGAACAGATAAACAATATGGTCTGTCCATACAATGGGGATGGTATTCTGTCCCAAAAAGAAATAAAGTTTTAACGCATGCCGCATGGTAGATGAACCTTGACAACATTTTGCTAAATGAAAGAAACCAGATACCAAAGGCCACAATGATTCCGTTGACAGAAAGTATACAGAACAGGCAAATCCATAGGTGCAGAACGAGAGACTGCTGCCTGGCACTTGGCGTCTTCCTGGAACCATGGAAATTTTTGAGGATTAGATAACAGCGAGGGTTGCATAACCCTGTGGAGGAGTAAAATACACTGATTTGTGCACTTTAGGATGGCAAGTTATATGGTAAGTTGGGAGGCAATAACAATGGAGGCAGATAAAATTGGCTAATAAGAAGTTGGTTTTTCCAGTACTTAGAAGGCTGAGGCAGGAGGATTGCAAATTTGAAGTCGACTTTGACTAAACAAAGGGAAAAAACAAAAGGAAACAAA